GTGACTTGTAGTTCTCAATGAACTGGGAGGGGCTGATGAGCACCTTCATAGTTCATCGATTACTTCTTCAGCTTTGTAACTGCCTGCCTGTATGGATGCGTTTCACCACTGCTGGCTTGCTGACAGGGATAGGGAAAGTCTTTCCTTGTGAGCAAGCCAGCAGTGATGAAACGCGTCGAGGAAGGTGGTTTCAGGGGAAACCATTATAGTATGCAGTTTCTTTCTTTTTGATGGCAAGAAAGGTGGGTCACACATATTCATTCCATGGTGGCATGAGGTTTACCCATTGCCACTGACAGCTCTCAGTCAAAATTTCAGATCTCACCACTGTGAGAGCCAATCACAGCAGTCACATGATACAGAAGTCACACCTCCTCTCAGCCATTAAATCCCACCTAAAGGGCTGCCAGGGAGTGATTTTAAGTAATGAATTAATAACAGAGTTGCATCCATTTATACATTTTATATCTTCCTGGAGCTCATCTTTAATTTAGCACTCTACGAAAGCAAAAGGAAACTAGAGGGGCTTCCAAAAAAAAAATCACATTTAGTAGACAAAAAAAATGGAAATATCACCCACAGTGTCCTCCCACCCAGCTGTGTCATTCATTCACATCAATCTATGAATGAGAAAAAGTCTCCCTGGAGCTCATCTTTAATTTAGCAATCTACGAAAGCAAAAGGAAACTAGGGTGCTTCCAAAAAAAAAATCACATTTAGTAGACAAAAAAAATGGGACTATCACCCACAGTGTCCTCCCACCCAGCCGTGTCATTCACTCACATCAATCTGTGAATGAGAAAAGTACAAGTCCCATCTGCCACCGTGGCAGGTGACTTGTAGTTCTCAATGAACCGGGAGGGCACCGATGAGCATCCTCATAGTTCATTGACACTTTTCCAGCTTTGTAACTGCCTGCCTGTATGGACGCGTTTCACCACTGCTGGCTTGCTGACAGGGATAGGGAAAGTCTATCCTTGTGAGCAAGCCAGCAGTGATGAAACGCGTCGAGGAAGGTGGTTTCAGGTGGAAACATTATAGTAGGCAGTTTCTTTCTTTTTGATGGCAAGAAAGGTGGGTTACACATATTCATTCCATGGTGGCATGAGGTCTACCCATTGCCACTGACAGCTCTCAGTCATAATTTTAGATCTCATAGCACTGTGAGAGCCAATCACAGCAGTCACATGATACAGAAGTCACACCTCCTCTCAGCCATTACCGCCCCACTTAAAGGGCTGCCAGGGAGTGACTTTAATGAATTAATACAGAATTGCATCCAATTTATACATTTTCTATCTCCCTGGAGCTCATCTTTAATTTAGCACTCTACGAAAGCAAAAGGAAACTAGAGGGGCTTCCAAAAAAAATCACATTTAGTAGAAAAAAAAATGGGAATATCACCCACAGTGTCCTCCCACCCAGATGTGTCATTCATTCACATCAATCTATGAATGAGAAAAGTACAAGTCTCATCTGCCACCGTGGCAGGTGACTCACAGTTCTCAATGAACTGGGAGGGCGCCGATGAGCACCTTCATAGTTCATTGACACTTCTTCCAGCTTTGTAACTGCCTGCCTGTATGGACGCGTTTCACCACTGCTGGCTTGCTGACAGGGATAGGGAAAGTCTATCCTTGTGAGCAAGCCAGCAGTGATGAAACGCGTCGAGGAAGGTGGTTTCAGGTGGAACCATTAGAGTATGCAGTTTCTTTCTTTTTGATGGCAAGAAAGGTGGGTTGTACATATTCATTCCATGGTGGCACAAGGTTTACCCATTGCCACTGACAGCTCTCAGTCATAATTTCAGATCTCACCACTGTGAGAGCCAATCACAGCAGTCACATGATGCAGAAGTCACACCTCCTCTCAACCATTTAACACCCATTTAAAGGGCTGCCAGGGAGTGACTTTAAGTAACGAATTAATGACAGAGTTGCATCAATTTATCTATTTTCTATCTCCCTGGAGCTCATCTTTAATTTAGCACTCTACGAAAACAAAAGGAATCTAGAGGGGCTTCCAAAAAATCACATTTAGTAGACAAAAAAAAATGGGACTATCACCCACAGTGTCCTCCCACCCAGCCGTGTCATTCATTTACATCAATCTGTGAATGAGAAAAGTACAAGTCCCATCTGTCACCCGTGGCAGGTGACTTGAAGGTTCTCAATGAACCGGGAGGGCGCCGATGAGCACCCTCATAGTTCATCGACACTTCTTCCAGCTTTGTAACTGCCTGCCTGTATGGACGCATTTCACTACTGCTGGCTTGCTGACAGGGATAGGGAAAGTCTATCCTTGTGAGCAAGTCAGCAGTGATGAAATGCGTCGAGGAAGGTGGTTTCAGGTGGAAACATTATAGTATGAAGTTTCTTTCTTTTTGATGGCAAGAAAGGTGGGTTGCACATATTCATTCCATGGTGGCACAAGGTCTACCCATTGCCACTGACAGCTCTCAGTCATAATTTCAGATCTCACCACTGTGAGAGCCAATCACAGCAGTCACATGATGCAGAAGTCACACCTCCACTCATCCATTAAAGCCCACTTAAAGGGCTGCCAGGGAGTGACTTTAATGAATTAATGACATAATTTCATAAATGTATCTATTTTCTATCTCCCTGGAGCTCATCTTTAATTTAGCACTCTACGAAAACAAAAAGAAACTAGAGGGGCTTCCAGAAAAAAATCACATTTAGTAGACAATAAAAATGGGACTATCACCCACAGTGTCCTCCCACCCAGCTGTGTCATTCATTCACATCAATCTGTGAATGAGAAAAGTCTAGCTGGAGCTCATCTTTAATTTAGCACTCTACGAAAGCAAAAGGAAACTAGGGGGCTTCCAAAAAAAATCACATTTTAGTAGAAAAAAAAAATGGGACTATCACCCACAGTGTCCTCCCACCCAGATGTGTCATTCATTTACATAAATCTGTGAATGAGAAAAGTACAAGTCCCATTTGCCACTGTGGCAGGTGACTTGTAGTTCTCATGGAACTGGGAGGGCGCTGATGAGCACCCTCATAGTTCATCAACACTTCTTCCAGCTTTGTAACTGCCTACCTGTATGGACGCGTTTCACTACTGCTGGCTTGCTGACAGGGATAGGGAAAGTCTATCCTTGTGAGCAAGCCAGCAGTGATGAAACGCGTTGAGGAAGGTGGTTTCAGGTGGAACCATTAGAGTATGCAGTTTCTTTCTTTTTGATGGCAAGAAAGGTGGGTTACACATATTCATTCCATGGTGGCATGAGGTCTACCCATTGCCACTGACAGCTCTCAGTCATAATTTCAGATCTCACCACTGTGAGAGCCAATCACAGCAGTCACATGATGCAGAAGTCACACCTCCTCTCTGCCATTAATGCCACTTAAAGGGCTGCCAGGGAGTGACTTTAAGTAACGAATTAGTAACAGATTTGCATCAATATATACATTTTCTATCTCCCTGGAGCTCATCTTTAATTTAGCATTCTATGAAAGCAAAAGGAAACTAGGGGGGCTTCCAAAATATTTCATTTAGCAGACAAAAAAAATGGGACCTACAGTGTCCTCCCACCCAAATGTTTCATTCATTCACATCAATCTGTGAATGAGAAAAGTCTCCCTGGAGCTCATCTTTAATTTAGCATTCTACGAAAGCAAAAGCAAACTAGAGGGGCTTCCAATAAAACTCACACTTAGCAGAAAAAAGAAGAGAAGATCACCCACTCATTAGTCTTTAATTTTCACATTCTGAAATAACATTTTTAATTGATCGAATCCACAGACAAATAAATCAGATCTAACGACTCTGGAGGCTGGAATTTGTTTTCATACTTTGTAGACATTTATGTGTGAAATCCAAGAAACAGCTAATTGCTATTTTCCAATCTGTCGGGTAATAAACACCAACAAAAACAGCAGAACATTCCTGTAGTGGGTCTCAACATGTGGTGTCCGTCCCCCGAGGAGCGCCTTCCTCAGCCTCTAGGGGTACTGCTGCTTCAGATAGACTCGGGGCACTAATTAGAATATTCTGTATGGAAAACAAATATTATACAGAATAGAATCAGACTGACACACACCATGCTACAAGAAACTCGTCAACCGTTAAATCGTACCTCCAGCCGCCCTTCAGTCCTGCACAGTTTTAGAGGCTTCTCTCCTAGACATGTGCGGTTCGTTTCGTTTCGTTCTGAATTCGAATTTGGACAAATTTTTGTTATTTAGACATTCAGATGTCTCCGAATGACATCCTAATGGGACTGCTCTGCCCTTCTGGGACTGGCCATAAGGGATTACTTTCTCCCCCAATACCTACCTGAGCCTCATCATGATCCAGCGATGTGCATGACTCGGCTGTCCTGGGTCTCTGCCTCCTCATTGGCTGAGACAGCAAACGTTCGCCATTTGCTCCTGCTGTTGACAATCACAGCTAGTCAGCCAATGTGGACAAAAAGGGGGTGGGGCCACACCACAGCTCCGTGTGCCTGGACACACAGAGCAGCGGGGGGCCCCCATAGCAAGCTACTTGCTGCGGGGGGCACCTGACAGAAAGGAGGATCCAGGAAAGACTGTGGGGGACCTGAGAAGAGGAGGATCTGAGCTGCTCTGTGCAAACCCACTACACACAGCAGGTAAGTATAGACATGTTTGCTATTTTACAAAACAAAACAAAATGAACTTTTAGAATCGCTTTAAAAATGTATTGAAATATATGTGAACTAAAAATCCTTGTTTTTTTATTGCATCGTTTGCTGGAAAGAATCATTAGCAGTGCGCAGAGCGTTCCTCCAGGATTTCTAGAGTCCAATAAACGTGTGAAGTCTTAAAGTGATATTAACCTAAACACGTTTTTTTGCCTTAATGCATTGCTTGCATTAAAGTGTTACCAAACCCAGGACCCTGCATTCACTATATCCGCTCTCCCCGGACCCTGCATTCACTATATCCGCTCTCCCCGGACCCTGCATTCACTATATCCGCTCTCCCGGACCCTGCATTCACTATATCCGCTCTCCCCGGACCCTGCATTCACTATATCCGCTCTCCCCGGACCCTGCATTCACTATATCCGGTCTCCCCCGGACCCTGCATTCACTATATCCGCTCTCCCCCCGACCCTGCATTCACTATATCCGGTCTCCCCGGACCCCGCATTCACTATATCCGCTCTCCCCGGACCCCGCATTCACTATATCCGCTCTCCCCGGACCCTGCATTGGGTGCACTATATCCGCTCTCCGGACACTGTATTCACTATATCTGGTCTCCCCGGACCCTGCATTCACTATATCTGCTCTCCCCGGACCCTGCATTCACTATATCTGCTCTCCCCGGACCCTGCATTCACTATATCTGGTCTCCCCGGACCCCCGCATTCACTATATCCGCTCTCCCTGGACCCTGCATTCACTATATCCGCTCTCCCCAGGACCCTGCATTCACTATATTCGCTCTCTCCCGGACCCTGCATTCACTATAACCGCTCTCCTGGACCCTGCATTCACTATATCAGCTCTCCCTGGACTCTGCATTCACTATATCCGCTCTTCCCGGACCCCCGCATTCACTATATCCGCTCTCCCCGGACCCCGCATTCACTATATCCGGTCTCCCCGGACCCCGCATTCACTATATCCGCTCTCCCGGACCCCGCATTCACTATATCCGCTCTCCCCCGGACCCCGCATTCACTATATCCGGTCTCCCCCGGACCCCGCATTCACTATATCCGGTCTCCCCGGACCCCGCATTCACTATATCCGCTCTCCCCGGACCCCGCATTCACTATATCCGCTCTCCCCGGACCCCGCATTCACTATATCCGGTCTCCCCAGACCCCCGCATTCACTATATCCGCTCTCCCCGGACCCTGCATTCACTATATCCGGTCTCCCCGGACCCCGCATTCACTATATCCGCTCTCCCTGGACCCTGCATTCACTATATCCGGTCTCCCCGGACCCTGCATTATATCTGGTCTCCCCTGCCCTCCCCGGACCCTGCATTATATCTGGTCTCCCCGGACCCTGCATTATATCTGGTCTCCCCGGACCCTGCATTATATCTGGTCTCCCCGGACCCTGCATTATATTTGGTCTCCCACAGTACACACAACATGGAAATGCAATTATTTTAGTAAATATAAACTGTTAAATACCTTTTCTCATCAGCAGTATATAGCGTTCTTGTGACTTCTATCAGTATCCAGCAGAGCACTGGTTAAAGCTTGTAGGAGGAGTTTTCCTTCTCCTCTGACTGCCCTGGGAGGCTGCATAACCTCTGACCCTCTGTCTGGACAGCTCTGATTGGCCCCTGATCACATGCACTCTGCAAAGAACAAAAAAACTCTCTAGTCACACCCACCAAACTGAGCATGTGCAGAGTGACTCCTAGAGCTCTGTTCTATCAGCAGATGGATTGGGGACAGTAGAAGAAGGGGAGGATTAGAGAAGACAGGATCAAACAGCCTTTTTACACAATGCAGAGGATTAACCCCTTAGGTTCCACAATGAGTATAACAAGCATGCTTTGCGGCATATACAGACTGATTGTACTGTTGTGGGTTTAGTAACATTTTAAGTTAAAAAAGTTTTTAGGTTCCTTGTGTTCCCTCTTCCCTGTGTGAAGGGGAAAAGAGGGGAGACTAGTGTTGTGCATGGCTGCATGCTCTCTCCCCTCGCTTCCTTTTTACACAGGGACTGATCAGCAGCAGGAGCCATTGGCTCTTGCTGCTGTCAATCAAGTGCAGTGAAGAAGAAGTGGGGGGTGGGACTAAGTCCCACTATGTGTGTCCCCATAGCAAATGGCTTGCTACGGGGACACACAAAGAAGAGGAGGGGCCAGGATCACTGCAATACCGTAGCACAGAGCAGGTGAGTATAACATGTTTGTTATTTTAATAAAGAAAAAAAAATCTGCCTTTAGTAACACTTTAGGATTGCACATGCTCACCCTACACATAGGGCGTGCATGGGGGTGCTTTACATTTGTTTAACCACTTGCCGCCCAGCCACCGCATATAAACGGTGGCAGGGCGGCGCTCGTAGGCAAAAGCACGTTTTAAAATGTGTGCCTACAAAACAGGTAGGGCCCTACCTGTCCCGCGGGTGTCAGCAGCGGGTCTCCGCCGCCGGGTCACGGCCGGTTTTTTACCGGCCGTTTTCCCGCGATGAGCGGTGAACACTGACACAGAGCAGGGCTGCATTGTTTACACACAGCCCTGCTCTGTGACAGTTCGCCGCCAAGCTGCAGAGGGAGAGAACAGTTTCTCTCCCTCGATCAGCTCCCCCCTCCCTCCCCCCGTCCAGTACACCCCCCCGCCCCCTAGTAAAACACTCCCCTTACACTACAAATTCTAAAAATGTTAACCCCTTCCTCCCCAGTGACATTAGTACAGTTTCAGTGGGTTTTTTTCACTGATCACTGTATTGGTGTCACTGGGGATGCCAGTGACCCCAAGTCAGCTCCTCCCCCAGTGTCAAAATGTCCGCCGCAGTCCCGCAGTCCCGCCATAAGTCGCTGGTCGCCGTCATATGTCGCTGATCGGCGCCATTATTAGTATAAATAAAAATTAAAAATCCCAGTATCTTTCCCGCCATTTGTAAACACTATAACTTTCACGTAAACCAATTAATTTACACATATTGTTTTTTTTTTTTAGCAAAGACATGTCGCAGAATGCATTTTGGCAGAAATTTATGACTAAATTTGATTTTTAAATTTTTTTTTTACTGGACGTGTTTTATAGCAAAAAGTCCAAAATATTGTTTTTTTTTCCTCAAAATTGTCAGACTTTTTTTTATAGTGCACAAAAAAAAAACCACACAGTCAATCAAATACCACCGAAAGAAAGCTAAATTTGTGGGAAAAAAAAGGATGTAAATTTCATTTATGTACCATATTGCATGACCGCGCAATTGTCCATTAAATTAGCGCAGCGCTGTATAGCAGAAAAAATGGCGTAAATTGCAGTATTTATACCATAGTTTGTAGACACTATAACTTCCACACAAAGCAATCAATATACACTTATTGGGATTTTTTTTTACCAAAAACATGGAGCAGAATACATTTTGGCCTAAATTTATAACCAACTTTGAGTTTACTATATATTTTTTATAGCTGAAAGTAAAAAATATTGTTTTTCTTCAAAATTTTTGGCCTTTTTTTGTTTATAGCGTGAAAAATAAAAAGCGCACAGGTGATCAAATACCACTGAAAGAAAGCTCTATTTGTGTGAAAAAAAGGACATAAATTTTGTTTGGGTGCAGCATTGCATGACCGCGCAATTATCAGTTGAATTAGTGCAGCGCCGAGTAGCAAAAAGAGGCGTGGTCATTAAGGGGGGTAAATCCTCTGGAGCTGAAGTGGTTAATCATGTTTAAATTATTTTATATAAATACATTTTAATTTTTTATTTTATTTAATACTATCACAAGGGGCTAACAAGTAACAGCATGGACAGGTGACAGGTACTCTTTATGGACCCCCAATAAATCCTCTGCCCTCCAATGCAGATATTTAAGCACAGATTAGAGACCAGATCATTTGACTGGTGTGGCAGTGACCAGGCATACTGACTGGTGAAAGTGTGTAAAAATATATACTGTATTTTATATATACAGTATATATATATATATTTTTTTCCTTTTTTTTTATTTTGTACAATATTTTTCCCTTTTTACATTTTTTTTTTACATACCGTGACCAGAGCAGTGCAGTGTTACCTTACCATAATGACACTCGGGGGGAGAGAAGGCATTGGGGAAAAAAAACCCCCCCCTTAAGGGGAAAAAAAGTGGGAAGTGTCCTTTTTTTAGATCAGTAAATTTTCCCCCCTTTACAGAAAGTCAAAGGTTCTTGGTCCAGCAAATTATTAAAAGGGTTTGTAAGAAACCCCCTTAAAAACCCCAGGTAGGAAGGCTACATGGTGGGGGAAAATCCGGGGGGCGAAGGGGAAAAGGGGTTAGAGCCAAACCATGGCACGAAAACAGGGGGTATTGAGGAGGGTTTTAAGGAATCCCAGAGATTGGTTGGTGATGTTCCAAAACCCCCTTATGGCGGGATCTATTCCACCCTTTTTGTTTGACCTTTTTTGACCTTTCCCCGTTAAAACCCCTTGCCTTTTCCCTTCGGATTTTTTGCCCGTTTCTAACCAAATGGCCCATATTTTCCCTTTTCCCCGGGGAACCCCCCCCCCAAATTTGCAAAGGTTTACAGGGCCTTACGCTAAGGATTGTTTTGGGGACCGTATATAAAAACCCACCCCCAATTAGGTTTTCCCCGGTAATACCTCGGGGAAAAACCCAGGGGGTCCTTGGGGGCCCCCGGGCCCTTGGAACCACCCCCCTTTGGGGGCCTTGGGGAATTTTTTTGTTTTCCCGTTGAAACCCGGGGTCATAAATCCCCCGGGCCCCGAAGTACCTTACCCCCCCGTTAACCTTTTTTTTTACCGTTTTTCCTGAACCCTTTTTTTTTCCCAAAATTTTGGACACCCCCCCCCTCCCTATGTTGGTATCAGGGGAGCCAAGCTGTCAAATGGGGGTTCCCCACTCCGGGGAATGACAAGGGGTTTATTAAATGGGGGGAGTACTAACCCATTGGGGGAAGGTTTTGCTCCAAAGTACCAATTATTGGATAAAAAAAATTAAAAAAAGGGGGGTTAGTACAAAAAAAGGGTGGGGGCAAAAGTTTTTGGGGGCCCTTTTTTAAAAAATCCCGGAAAATCGAAAAAATATTTCACCAAAGGTAAATTCATTTAATATACACGGGGCAAAGGAAAAAAAAATTTTTGGGGGGAAAGGGGACTTAATCTGGAATTTGACCTTTTTTTTCTTTTAAAATTTTCAAGGCAAAAAAAAAATTCCCTTTAACGGGGCTTTAAAAACTTTTTTGGGCAAAGAAGTTAATGATAATGGGGGTTTTGGGCCAGGGCCAGATAGAAAATAAAAGGGGTGGGGAAAAAAAAAACCAAGGGGGAAAGAAAAAGTTAAAAGCAAAAAAAAAACAAAAAAACCCAAAGTGTGGGGGTAAATAACATAGGGGTGAAAGGGAAAATTTTGTTGGAGAAGGCAATAATCTGGCAAACAAGGCACAGGGATGGGTTAACTAGTTCGGGAGGAACAAAGGGGTTCAAAGGGTTTACAAGAACAACCAGATTGTCATATTAACTGGAGCCGTCAAGCATTTAGGGGGGTCCAAAAGAAGATCTAATATAAGATGCAGCAAGGCGTGGGTTCAGATCCCGGTCCTGACACCTAGATGAGAAAGCTTTCCCTAGAATATATGCCGCATGCCATGTGTTTTCACCTCCAAGTGCATAACTTTACATTTATCAACATGATAACCTCATTTGCCACAGAGTTTGCCCCAATAAAACAATGCC